ATTTAATATTAAAATTTGCTACTGAAGTGTCCACAAGTGAAGAAATAAGTCCTTTAACTGTTACCAGAAATTTAAATAAACTAAACGATATTATACTACGTATATCCTGTAGCTTTTGAAAACTTTGAAATCAATATAATCAATGTGTAGTATATATAGTAAATAAGTATTTACAATATAAAGTAAACTATGTTGATATAGTAGAACAAAAATGATTAATCTCTGTGTGTGTACTTTAAACAAATAAAATAAAATAATGAGTTTCAAATAAATCAATTTTAGCACCCAAATAATCCCTACGGTTTTAAATATAAGACATAAAGAACATACGCCATTTTGTATGAGAAATGACTGTAACAAAATAATATTTATAAAATATTTAATTTTTTTATATATTATAATAAAATATTATTTTGAAATTGTATTTTCCAAATTATTTATTTATTTTTTTTTTTGATTTTTCAATATTTTAAAACATAAATTGTGCTCAGGACAAAGTAATATAATGAATTAAGACAAATTAATTAATTAATTAAATAAATTTAAGTTGTATACAATATTATATAGAAATGGCGCAAAAATATTAACGATAACGCAATATATTTGCCATAGACATTTAAACAAATTCAATGAATTTATTAAAATAATATAAAATTCATCAGAATAATATCAATTTGTACATAGAATACATATATCATTAAACACAAAAAATAATAAAATTAACTTGGCAGCTCCCAACTAAATAATTAAAAGTCACTAAAATTAAATATAAAATTAATTTTAAATAAAAATTGCAATAAAATAATGTACTTTCGAACGAAAACAGATATTAAATAATATATAATAATTGTTTGAAATTAAAAAAAAAATTATTGATTTTGTTTATCTATGCATACACTTATAATAATTAATAAAAATAAATTATGTAAAATGTAGTTTATATAAAAACATGTTTAACAAAAAGGCTGTTTGTAGAAATTGTGAAAAATTAGTAATATAAAAAATAAAAACAAATTCAACAAATAAATATATTGAATTTCAATTTTATGTCTAATAACAAAAGAAAAAAAAAATAATAAAACATTCAAACTATGTGATTTGCTTCTCTACAATTCATATATATATATATATATATATATATATAAATATATATATTTATGTATGTTAGTATGTATTTTCTTAAAATTTAGTGTAAAATATATAAAATTAGGAGCAATAATAAATATGTAATTATTTGTAATTGAGAATTAATGTAGTAAAATGCAGTCAAAATATTTAATGTGACACAAGAAAAAAAAATTTAAAAAAATTGTACAAGTAATAAAATTAATTAAAAAAGCAAATAAATTTTAAAATGAAAAAAAAATTAATTAAAAAACAAAAAATGAATTGGTAATGCTTTTAATGTGTGTTTAGCAATAATTACACACTATAAGTAAAAATTGTTGTTATGTAATTTGCAATATATTTAACAAACAAACAATAATATACATGAAGAATAATTAATTATAATTAATTCCAAATAGTTAACACTGAATATGTAATATTAACTACACAATAAAACACAAAAATCACTTACTAAATTAAAGCACTTAACAACACAACAACAAAAAAGTATTATATAAAATATTATACAAAAAAAAATTTTTATTTATAAAATATAAAAAATATTATTTATTTATAATATATTAATATATTATTACAAAAAGTATTTTTTTCGGCAACACTAATACAAACTTTAAAAAATATTTTTTATTTAAGAAATATTACATAAAATGTTTTTTATTTAGAAAATATAAATAAAAATATTTCTTATAAATAAAATATTTTTTATTTATAAAATATAGTATAAAATATTTCTTATTTAAAAAATATATTAAAAAAGATTTGTTATTTATAAAATATATTATACTATATTTTTTATTTTTAAAATGTTATAAAAAATTTTTATTTGTAAAATATTATAAAAAATATTTATTATTTGTAAAATATTTTATAAAATATTCTTATTTTAAATATTATTCAAAACATTTTTTATTTTTAACTCTATTAAAAAAGTATTTTTTTTTTATTAAAACTTTACTCTTAAATTTAATATAACAAATATTTTTATATAATTAACATTTTTTGAAATGTAATTACTTTCAAACAAATATTAAAAATATTTCACATATATATTTAAATAAATCTTTTCGTTCTGTATATTTAAATTCTTATAAGCAAATATTTGGCACATTAACTAAAAATATATGTAAATAATATTGTACATTACTAACTGTATTTATTGTGTAACACATTAATTTTATATTACATTACCTTACAAGCATAATTATATTTACATAATTATTCAAATATGTATGTACTTAATAATGTATTATGTTTAATGATCTGATTATAATCCATTTACTCTATGTACTATGTCATTTAAACAATAATTATTTGACTTCAATACAAAAATAACAATCTATTTAAAATTATATACAATTACTACATAATTACTATATAATTACTATTATAACTAATTACCATAAATATATAACAAATATTTACAATTAGTCGTATTATAAAGTAAAACACAAAAACAAAATTGCTTTCAAGTGAATAAAGTTCTTTGGAAATTATTATAATTACGATAATGCAATAATATGACTTTTAATTAATTATTTCTATTATATATTCTTATTATAAGAACACTATACCTCATATTCCAGTAGGTCCGCATACCTCAGGGAGTGAATACACAAATCAATGAGTCTGATCGCATTTAATTTAGTAAATGCCAGTGCAATCCTTATCATGCCTTCTCATGGCATCCTTTTATAGTTAGTTGCCACCATTAGATAGATATTTCGGACTCATTGGGTGTAGTGTGCCATGCTAATAGTTGCATACGGAGGGTTGTTCATCACGTTATACATAGGATTTGATATTTGTCACATAAAAATTGCTGACAGTGAAGGAAGAGAAGAGTTTCGGATAAAGAGACCAGACCAGATGTCAATCACTCCAAGGCTATCGAAAGACTTTTAAAGAGACAAGACTATGTATTTTAATAATACAAAATGAAATATTTGCTCCAACTGTCGTAGGAAAAAATCGTATCCTCTGTTGAGCGACCAGATGAAGGAAGCACGGATTGCACTTAATATACGATTCTAGAAAAAGAACATACAAAACAGTGGTATCTAGAGAGCAATATAACATCAATTCTGATTCTAACAACTGATTATTAATGGTATCTTAGTAAAAGTAAAATATGAGGTTGTTCGGAAAGTAATTTAGTTTTTTTTCGAACAAAGAGCTTATATTTTTTCACAGCCTACATTGTGAGTTGCTTATCAAGTTTCAAGAAAATAATCCCTTTTTTAAAAGCATCGTTACTAGGACAAGAAATGATCTGTTTACAACAATGTTAAACGAAAGAGATCATGAAATGAAAAAGATCAGTTAGCTTAAAGTAGTACCTTTCTTTAAAAAAGGTAAGAAAATACAAAGACGATTTCAAAGAAACCGTTTGTATTTTAGAATTTCTATTGGACAAGATAAAATCAATTTGAAGTTAATACAATGATCAATTCTGAAATATGCGTTCATAAGCTGATTAAATTATAAAGCTAGAATTGAAGAACTTAGTTTTTTAATTATCGACTTCTTTCTTTCTTCTCTACTTACCAATTCGATTTCGTATATTAATAATCATATAACATAAACCTACACTGTTTAAATTAACTTTTTTTAACCATTTCTGCATATTATTCTTTGCAACTAGCTATATTTAAAAGGTTGCCGATCTCTCGTATTCCGGTCCATTGACGGATGTTTAGCGACCATGAAAATTATTTCCTACCAATACCGGTTTCCCTTCGATTTTTTATTCAATAATCATTTGGAATAGCACATATTATGAATTCCTCAGAATATGCTCTAGCTAAGCTATTTTTCTTCCCTTTTCTTCCGACCATGTTATTGTTTTTAAGAATTTTTCGAAAAATCCATCACTTAAATGCTTCGAGCTTGTTAATATTAGTGATTTTTAAAGTTCAGGTTTCCATGGCGTATAGGAGTATAGACCAGACATAGCATTTTAGAAAATAGGTTTTAATATTCAGAACATAACTGTTAAGAACTTTTTTGTATTTAAGGCATTTGATCTCTTTGGAACAATTCCAATTATTATTTATATAACATCCAAGATATTTAAAATCTTTTTGTTTTATTTATGCTTACTAGTTGATAAACTTAATCCTATATTACCGCAAAAATAGCCTTATTCAATATAGCGGATATATTTTTCTAAGTTATATTTAATTGACTACATACCTTAGAAGTTTGTTAGTGCAGCTTTTATATACAATATATTTTAATAATAATAAAGTAAAATTTAATAATGTGTGAAGGGTATAAGAGCACACAACATATTATAATATATTGAGTTTATAATCAGTTTCTGCGGATATGTTGATCGATAGGTAGTTGCTAATGAGAAGCCGCCTTTACTTTACTGAGAAGACGAGTTTACTTAGGCTCTATGTAGTGTCTGTTATAACACTACAGAAAAATTTTTGTTTTCTGCAGTGTGCCAGCGTAAATGATCAATATTTTGCTTTACCTCCTCTAACCTCTACAAAGTCTTTAATGTATACACAGCGAGTGGACCTTTAAAATATTTTCTGAAAAGGAACATGGCTTAACTTACGCATTGGCGATCTAGCTATTTGGGATTAAATAGCTGTTATGTACTCATGACAGCAGAACACTTCTGTGGATGTCAGTCTCTAGTTGTTACCAATTGTTTAATGCTTGGTTGCATTTTAGGATTAGATTAGGGGTGATTAGAAGATTCGAAGTTTTGATTAGGAGTTAGGCACATATGTAGCTTCACTTCTTGTGGATTCTTTTTTGGTTTCGGATTTTGGAAACGCGTAATTGTAATACTTACTTTAAATTATTCAAATTTAATCGTAATCGTATAAATAAAACCATCAAATTTTTTGTTTTTAATACATAGAATACTTTAATTAAGAAAATATAATTTATTTTTTGATGCTTACACATAAGTTTTCCAAAATTTTCCTCAGGAAATATAAAATATCTTGCGGCTGTCGTACACCGCTGGCAGTCTATGAAAAGAGTTAATAAAGTACCGTAACATAAAATCTTACATTTCAACGCTTATTTGTAATTTTGATATAGGCTAAAATCTTTCACTTGGAAATATCCAAAAATTTAATGACACTGGAGTAGTTAGATTACTACGAATATAATTCTGATTCCATTAAAAATGTACAATTATCGAAATTGTTTTCTTATGAGCAAAAATGTTCAAAATGAGCTTTAAAAATGCACTTAACTTAAGACCAATACTAAATATCTATAAAAAATTTTGCAACCGCAAAAAATTACAATCACTCACTCACGATAAAGATATCGTAAATATTTTATAGATAAAAATAAACAAATATTTTAAAATTATTCATAAAATGATTCAAGGATCTTATGAGAAATGGCCATGTTTAATCGTAAATGGTTGCATGTTGCGAAATGATTTTCTCGATCGAGTTCTTCACAAAATTCTTCTGTACTTCCGGTATGCTCTCCAGCTTCGGCAACATCTTCATTAGAAATAGAAAGTCTGGGGAGAGATTGATATTCCTTTGTGTGGTGTTCTGTGATATTGTGTTGATTTTGCCATTAAGTTTGTTGTTGTTGTTGGTGACAATAACTGGCGTGGCGGCTGATATCTGCTTGGCCTGTGAGTGATGATTGCCATTTGTTGCATTGGAATTGTGAATGTGGCTAACGCTACCATTTGTTGTTATTGTTTTTACATGATTCTTTTTAGGTGGCAATGTTACAGGGGGACGCGTTTTTATATGCTGTTTTGATTCTTCAGACACATATGCATTATGTTTTGGAGTACTGTGACCATTCACCGATTTCGTTGCTGTAATGACGGAATCAACCAGTTGCGTTGCAGGCGAATCTTTAGCTTGAATGCAATTTAGAATTTCTGGTAATATTTTATCAAATTTTTCTGTAAGCTCAGCATCGGATTTATTAGCGAATAAGGTCAGTTTCTTGGGTGCATGGCTATATCCATTTTCAGGGTTAATAGTATTTTGTGTTTTATTGTTGTTGTCATTCTGTGCGGTTTCGTTTTCTTCCAAAAGCAAATACATTTTACGTTTCTGTCCGCCATAGGAGTGTGCGTTAATGATCTGTTCACCACCTTCTTCACATTTTTCTGTTATCATGTATACTTTACGGTTTTTTAGTTGTGCACCATTATTACGTAGATACTCGTTCAAGTTTTTGCCAAGTTGTGTACCAGCTGGCTGCGAATCACTGTCCGACTGTGAATCACTTGCTATGGATATTGATGAAGTCGCTGAAGATATAGAATTTGTGCGTTTCGATACCACTACCGAAGAAACCGGATTCGATGATTGCAATGGAGCTAATACAATAGATTGACTTTTATTTTGTATAGTAATGGGTCGTATTCTTTTCTATAAATAAAAAAATAGTTATTATTAGTATTTAATATAAAAAGGTTATTGTTTGTATTGATAATATTGTAGATATTAAATAATTGATTTAAATAAATTGATATTTATTTCATTTGACAACTAACTATCATTTGTTTCGGGGATTGCTATCGTATACTGACATTGTTATTAGTGATGTAGGGGTACATGTAGTAGTTTTTGGGTCTGTCGAACGGCACTTAGTCGACTTGACTTGTGGCTCCGGGACGTGGACATGGTGGTTCGAAAGTTTAAAAAAATCAATCGCTAGAAGGCGATTGATACTAGAAATTTCACCTATCTTCAATTAATTTTTATTCCCAAACACGATTCAAATGTTTTTTTTCAATAGAAATCCCACCCATTCACAATTCATTCTTGTTACTTAACAGGATTCAAATGTACTGGTTCCCATCCCCAATTGTTCCTAAACAATTGCCTCACCTCTTACACCCCATTCTTAACCATAAAACAAACCTATGTATACATATTTGTTATTCCTTACATATTATCTTATCTGGTCTATAAATTTTCGGGGGTTCTCACAACAACAACAACATAGATGGATTAGCTTACCCTTTGGAATTTGTTCAAAATTTCGCAAATACATTGTATGATACGTGGTAAGTCGTATCCACAGTTGATGAACATCCTCTACTTATAATAAAGGGTATACTAACCACGTTCAATTTATTTACCTTTATGTCCTCGGTAAGCGGTTGAGGAGTGCTCTGTATAATTGCCGTTTTAGAAGCAGCTGACATCGCATCCTTTTGGAGGCGTGTTGGTGTAGTCTTTATTCGGGTCTTAGCCATTTCCAATTCTTGAAAATGTCTGAAGCAAATTCGTAAACTATATATATTACTCAGTACGTCAATCTGTTTCTGGGTGATATTAAAGATTTTGAGCCACTTTCGATATCTGTAAATAACCAAAAAAATATATGTTTTATTTATTTCGTTTTATTTGGATTTATTTTTTTAACTGAAACGCTTATGATTTGTTTATAAATCGTATATGCGTATATTTATATGTTTATATTTCAGATATAAAATTTACATATAAAAGTTTAGAAGAAAAACTTTACTCAAAACAATTTAAAAATTTTTTTTTATCAAAACAGAAGTTTTCATATGTAAAAAGCTTTTTGCAAACACATTAAAAGCTCAGCGCAGGCAGACAGCTTGCGTCTCTACACAACACATTAACGGCTAAAAGCTCTGCTTACTACACTTCTTCAACGCAAGCACAATACACACCGCTTACCGCTTGCCGCACGCTGTTCAAAAAATGCACAAGTCAACGTTTTTGCTTAGCTTGCTTGATTTTTTGTGACTGTTGTTAGACGCGTAAGGCACACACATATATAAAAAAAATTGGTCTAAAAATACTGAACCGAAGTTGCAGCTAAAATTTTCTATACCACAACAACAATTGCAGCAGCTGCGACTATGTTAGCGGCATTAGCGCTTGCAGACAAGAACTTGTGGAACAAGTTTAAGGTCAAGTTTAGTTTTATCTTAACAACATTTTTAGCAAAGAATTTGGCACTATTACACAAGTTAGTATAGAAACTCACTAAGTAAACTAATTTTATTTATTAGCCGAATTTTATCGAATTTCAAATATCTTTTTTGTCCATTCATACTTGCTTCACATTTGCAAAATATATTTATGTGATTTACTTGAATATATGTATTTACTTATTGCATTGTTTGTTACTTTATGTATTGTGTGTTGTGTGCTGTGTGTTGTGTTCTGCTCTATTAACTATCCTTGAAAGCTGTGTGTACTTGGACTCCGATTTCCGACTCCATGCAACTGATCTTGTTACGAGTTCTTTGTTTACTGATGTGCAATTTTGTAATTCGCTTTAACTTAAAATTAGATTCCAAGTGCACTCTTCGTCCGATTCGCTCAGCTTTAAACCAACAATTTGCATCAATAAGAACCAAAACAGAAAGTAGCAAGCACAAGCGCATTTTGCTCTCTTTCACTCATAAAGTTTCCTGTGCTTCCCACTTATTCCCATTAATTCCGCCATGCTTCTGCTCTGGACTCTAACAAAAACAAAAACAAACACAAAAACAAAAACAATGCAAAAAGCATAAAAGCACTAACATATGCATGGTATATGCACACTGCAGCACTTCACACTGTACAGTGTTTAGTGTTCTGCTTTGTGCGGTTCGAAACTTTGAGACGCTATCCCAGGGGCAAGCACAGCACAAATATTAATTGAACATTTATTAACAGAGGCGTAGAAATGACTTTTATTAGAGGATATTCATTTTATATCACAGAATATCTGCTGTAAAAAGATCTCATGTGCATATAGTTACATATAACATTACACATATGTATAACCAGACAAAACAATCTTAGGCAACAGTTGCTAGCTACTGTAAATAAAGAAATGACCGTTAAGACAATAATAATATCAAGCACTTAAGCAAAATTACAAGTAATCGCAAGTCAACGCAACTCATTATCTGACGCCAATGGTCCGCAACTATCAAAGACATCATCCGTCACTTAGATCAAAAGACATCAGAGAGCAGTGTAACAGTGTTTTATATATTATCTGACACTAATGGTCCGCAACTGTCAAAGACAACATCCGTCACTTAGATCAGAATACATCAAAGAGCAGTGTAACAGTGTAAAATATATCGGCAACTGATAGATTTTTCAATTCAAACATGAGATATTAATAACAATTCAAACATTATTGAAGTTATCCAACGGCTCCGACACTATAAGTCAGGTTTGTATCAAATCAAACTATTCAAAAAAAATTTGAACATTTGCCTAATAAAGAAAGAAAAAAAATTAACGCTAAAAACACAAAGTTAGATCAAAAAGTCATACCCAAACACATTGGCAATAGAATCACTACAGACCCATACTTTAAGCCATTTACAAAATTAACACATCCTTAACACATCCTCGTATATTAACTTTTAAGATTCCAATGTAAGTTTATTATGTATACATACATGCTATGTAATATAAGTAATCGTTTTTGTACGCTATGGAAACTTTTGACAACAAACAATCGAAGTAAAAGATAATCTCCACTAAGACCATCTACTATATTAACTGCAAACCCAATATTTTTTTAATTGACAATACCAGACGTGAAACATCCTCAGTCGTGAACAGTATCCTACGCAAACCAACCCGATCAGTTACTTGCTGTCGTCAGTTAATAATATCGAGCCAAAGTACCAAGTGCCTCCACCGGATATACGGCTTTGTGTATTGAATTTTCCAGCAATGGACACTAAAACAAATAACTTCTTAGCCGTAGCACTTTCTTCCATTCCGGCGATATGAAGAAAAAGTCAATGTCAATGTCATGTTATAGCCCGTATAGGTTATCGTTTCATTTAATTCGATATTCATTGTCAACGCATAAGGTATCATATATCATTCGAAGATTTTTTTCTTTGAATAATGTTCCTACCGCCTTCTCATCACCTTTGGTTATTTGCCCAAGCTTCGGTACCATACAGCAGGACAAGTACTTGTGAAGCATGACTTTTATTTATTGGAAGAGGGCCTTATTTCTTAGTTGCTTACTTAGCCCAAAGTAGCATATATTAACAAGAGTTATTCTTCGTCGAATCTCTAGGCTGTCGTCGTTTTTGGTGTTAACACCAAAAAAATAAAATCATTCACAACTTCGAAATGATAGCTGTTAACAACGCCGTGGGTCAAAAGATTCCGCCTGATCAGCAAGTTATTGAGCATTGCAAGTTTGTGCAGCATTGATTAGTTGTAGCATAATACGATTAGTCATCGTTTCCATTTTGACAGGCAAGAATTATAAGCCTGGGACTAGCAGTCCAAAAAATTATTTACTAATTATATAAAAAATCAAATAATTGCTAAGATCACTGTTTATAATTACTTGGCAATACTCGAAACAGCGTTGTGTGGTTTGCCAAATTTAAATAATTTAACTAAATTTTTGTTGTCGTGGCTTCGTTACTCTTCGCACCCTTCTAACATAAAATACTTTATTTTCTTCATAAGACGCGTCATATTCGACTTTAAAAATCACATCAAATTATTTATTATTCAAAAAAGTCTCTTTTAGACAAATACGCAGAAATAGTTAATGCACGACTCTGTCCATATAAATGCGTAACATAAAACAACGGAAGTGCACACATTTGAACACTGAAAGTACTTGTGCTTTAACATTTTTTGAATTCCCTTTTAAATGTTTTGCCAGAACGTATTATTTAATATTAAGGTGACCAGATGAATTAAGTGATTTAGGAAAAAGAGCTTTTGAACTATAACTGTTATAGAAACCATTATATATAACTACTATTATAGGTTATATTTTATAACTATAAATTAAAAACATTTAATTAAAAAAGCAATAACAATTATCATATTTACAACATTAATTTTGTGATTTTAAATGAAAATATATGAAATAAATGAGTATTCTATGTGGCCCATGCTATACTTAAGTAATTTTTAAGTATTAATTTTGGTGCATTAATTTTTGATGCTTGCTATACTTGATAAATTCTACAAATTGTGTGAAGAGAAGCAAAAGAAACGTTGTGACAATGAATTTAACAAAATTACTATTAAATTTTTTGCTTTCGCTGTTTAGTGCTCTGCTCTGCACTTATGTAAATATTTATTTATTTATTTATTGCACTTATTTATTATTTTTGGTTAAAAGTTTTCAAATTTATTTATGTATTTATTAAACATCTTATGAAATTTTTACAATGGTAGCACCTAATTTACCTTACTCGAAAATCTAGTAAATACAAACATTCGCTGCCATACCGACATGAATTACTACTTCCCTCAATTTACTATCAACTTACTCGATATGGAATGAAAAATTATAATATGACAATAAAAATTGTATGCATGGATTCGTTTCAAAATTGTCGCAAAATTGATAAGTTAAAAGTCATCTAAATGAATATTAAGCCTAAAGTTACGGCTTAAATTATGAAATAGGGTCTAAATCTCATGTAAGAGAAATTCATTAAAAAACTTTTCAATTAAATTCTCATTAGTTTCTATGAAATCGATTTTATGAAAAACTAAATTAAATTTACGTTGTTTAATTGAATTCAAATTACAAAATATATTTATCTATACAAAATCTATATCAATAAATAAAATTTATCTATAACAGTTCTATATCAGTTTCATTCATTCCATTCCCTTAATTCGATTAGTAAGTATGGTCACCTTAAATTATGCAAACCTTTCAAAAAGTTCTTTTTCATTCTGTTGTTATTTTTCAAATAAAAGCATAAAAATATTCAATTCAGCAGAAGTTTACTGCTTACTTATAGTATAAACATAACATTAAATCATGTCATGTGTGCTTATATAAAAATGAAAATGTTCTTATCTAAATCTAAATAATTTGTTTGTAATATCCAATTAGTAAATATGCATTTATGTAAATATTTTGGTTTGAAAATACACACACATACACACACACGTACATATTCCCCGACTTTACATTAAAGCACTCAACTGAAAGAGACTCAACTCATAGTCACCATGGCATTGAAATATTAAATGAGTGGAAGTTCAACAACCTTTGACTTTGAGTGGCGATGCATCAACAGCAGCAAGATTGCGCCCAGGCATACCCAAAGAAGAATAGAAAACTAAACACACAAACAAACAAATACAACCAACAGAATTGAAAAGTCGTCGACCAACAATAACAAAAAAAGCACTGGCAAAACGTAAACACATGCAATGCACTGCAGCAAGCAGCAAGTATAAAAAGCAGAGATGCGCGCTGAAAGCTTTCAGTGCATAGACAATACAAAATCCCATTCAATATTACACTAACACAAGTGTAAAACAGCAAAAGCATAATTTCATAAACAAAGCAGGGCAGCAATCAGCAAAGCAAAAACAAATACAACAAAACTTAAATTGTTAATGTATGAAATGTAAGTTCAGCATTGAGGGAGCCATAATTCAATTGTGCAGACTTTTTTTTCTTGTTTTTGCAAATACATAATAATACATAAAATGTTTCTGCAAATGTAATAAAATTACAAACTTGTTGACTGTGAAGAACTTCATTATGTTATTTATGAACTGATAATCCGCTTGAATATTCTGTAGATGCTATTTTGCATACAATATACAGAGTTGCATTTTGGTTCAAAGGTAAATTCAAGAGATTTAGATTAAATTTATTTAAAATTCATTTAAATTATTTCTAATATAATTAATTAAATTTACTTAATTAATAATAGCAAACTAAGTTATTTGTAAGTATAATAAAGAAATTCATCATCCATTGGGATTATGGTATTACATATTAACATTAGAAATTAATAAATATGGGGAAAACCTATTTAATGTAGTACAAGGGATTGTTAGGGCCATTTTACGCAGTCTCTCGGGCACGACATGAGTAAAATTATTGTTGTTTTTAATGTAAATTTTTGAGTTTGAGAATGAGAGAAAAACAATATGGCCGTTCAAACTCCGGCATGAGAGTCGGCGTATTTGTACCCCGGCACTAACGCAAAACAGTGTTGTTTAGTAATAAATTTCAGAATTTGGCAGTAAGGAACACAATAATTTAATTATTACGCTTTCCGCTTTTAAGGACAGGCTTATAATTTTGTAAGCACTGTTATATATTATTAGATAATACAATAATAAATTAACAATATTACAGCCTCTATGAGTTTTTTCTTCCTGGTTATTTTTGGTGGCAAATTGAAAGTGAGCATATCTACATTTCCTGTTAAAATTTGGTACAACCAAAAAGTATCAAAATATTGTAAAAATACGAAATTGACAATACTAATGTGACAGTCTACATAATATACATTATGCCAAATAGCCCGAAAGAGCGAATTTTGTCGTGCCGGACACACTCTACAAACATGGCCCTTAACGAAATCAATTTTAAGTTCAAATATTAAAATCTTTTATCATTACAGAATTTTAAAATTTCAAAAAATAATTTTTGTTATTCTTAGATAAATTGCTGCATCTGCATATTTAGAATTATTTTTTTTTTTTTAATTTAGCCATACACGACGTTTCTAACAGTGATATATGAGTAAAGCGATAAAAATAAATAAACAGTACGGAAACTTGAAACCCTCATGAGGGTCAGTGAATAATGAAAGAATTCACAATTGTTATTCTTTTATAAGCTTGAGTAAGAAAAACATATTTGTTATTTAATGTAACGACGACTTATAAATGATCAAAATTCCATTAAGTTTGAAGAGTTAGTCTTCATATTTTAGATAAACTGTTACTAACTATAATAATCTAATAGATCATTCAGTATTTTAAGAATTAATTTTTTAAAATGAATTTCTTAGAAATATTATACATATTATATTATAAAATATTATAATATAGAAAAATATAAGTATAATTTTTAAAAAATTAATTTTTTTTTAAACAGTGCTATTACTTTTTATTCGTACAGTACTAAGTGTGTAATTCCTATATGGAAATTTTTTCGAGACATATTTGATAGACATACTTCGAATTATGTGTGTTGTGTAATCAAAAAAACTAGAATTTGTCTTACCGCTCCGGATCCTGTGGAAATTTTAATAATTTTTCCCGTGCAATATTACAACCGAATATACAACGTCTCGGTTTTGGACTACTGACGGTTATTGTTGGAATTTCTAAGGGTATTTCACTATTCTCATATTCGTAGTCAAGTTCATCATTTTGTTGAATTATTGCCTCATTATATTGTTCTTCCTTAACTTCTAGAGGAAAATGAATATTTAGAACTTCTGTTATTTGCGGACCGTCATCAATAACACTTCCCAGTCCGTCATTTGAGCAATTATTTTCCATAAGTACACTCATACTTGAGGAGCAACGCTTTACGTACGAAAAATTATTTTGTGGTTGTACAAAATTATCCATTTTATTTATATGTATGTCTATCTTATTTTAACGTAGTGTGCTGGGAAATACACGGAGTAATTATTAAAATACATAATATGAAATTGTGGTAGGAACCATTTTTAAATAACAACACATAATTGAAGGCATAATCAAATCAATATTAATAAATAAAATCAACATATAATAAAAAAGAATCTCATAATATAAAAGAATCTTATAATAAAAAAGAATCTCATAATAAAAAAAACCTCTCATCGTATAATAAAAAAATCTAAACACAAAAAATGCATAAACCGCCAAGCAAAACGCTAAAAGCTTTTCACATTTTCTTGTTGTTGTGTTTGTACTTTAACACTGCAACTCAACTTTACTTCAGCAAATCATTCAAAAAACTTGCCGAGCTTTGGTGTGTGTGTGTGCGTGTGTATGTGAAAAACCATATTGTGATTTGTGAGCTTTTGAGTGTTTTGCTGGCGTAATTATATTTTGCTTGAGCTCATGTTTTTGCGAACGAAACCGAAGTTACAACAAAACAAAAATGATAAAAAAAAGAAATACAAAATAGTGTGTGTACCATTCTAGCAATGCGTAAGAGTACATTACAGCCGATCAGGAGGTGTGAAGGCAAACAGAAACCATGAATTCAAGAAACCATGAAGTGTGACTAAAAAAGCCGGCTGACGCCTGGTGACGCCTGGTGTTGCAGTGCAGTTTTGCTTTTGTTCTAGTTGTTGCTGCTTTTGTTTTTGTTTTTATTGTTAGTTTTGTTTTTGTTTTTGTTAGGGGAGCACTCTGTAGATATTTTTAAAGTTTCAAAGCTGCGTTATTCTAGACAAAAATTGCATCTCAGATGCTTTTTTTATGCGTGGTAGTTCAAAATGTTTTGGTTTTGCGTTCAGTTAAAGCAAAAGTTTTGTTTTTTTTAAAAATACGCACTTTTTTTTTGGTTATGCTCTTGAATGTAGTTTGCACAATTTTTTAATGCTGTGGGGACGCTGCACTGAATGCGGGCGCGACCAAATTAAAATTTTTATTATAAAAAATTTGTTTGTCTTGTTTCCGAGTTGAATGACCTTTGATGCTTATTAATGTTTATCTGCGTTTTAATTATTTTGCATTCATTTAATTTTACCTTCTGAAGTTGTTTTTTCTTTTCGCCGTCAACCTTTTGTTTAGAGCTTTGAAAAGCTATAATTTTGCTAAATTCAAAGAAAGAAATAATATACTTTCTTTCAAGCAATTTTGACTTTTTATCGCACTTTATATAACATAAAAGATTTTCGTTTCTTTTAATAAGATTTTTAATGTATTATTCACAGTATTTTTTATTTAATTGTTTTTGAATCGACACTGCAAAATATAAAATTTTCTATTTCGGCTGCAAGCCTTTTTAGCTACACACGTGCGCGCCGCCACTTCCGATAGCGTCTTTTTAAGAACTGCCAACAATTTTTTTTTGCTATTCAGGGTTTTGCAGAGCTGTGCAAAATTATAAAGCTTTCAGTGCGCACTTGAATTTGCTGCAGCTTTTTGACAACAGTTATAAAGCTTTCAAGTTAAGCTTTATACAGAACTTGCAAATGCCTTGAAAGTTTTTGTCTCTAATATGGATATGACTCTTTTGTCAAAGGAATTTTTAAAATGCTTGCAATTCAATAAATATATTTTTTTGCGGATTTTCGCGTATTTAGTGAAAAAATGTAAAGTTAAAAAATGCACAATAGTACGTAAGGAACTTTTAGTAAACGTACGGAAAAATAAAATCAGTCGCCATTTTTAATTTCATGAGAGGTCTAGAACGCATGTGAAGCTGGTAATAATTTCTGGTACATATTTGATTTGTTAGAAATTATATTTTTATTATTAAAGAGGACAAAATTTTTAGTTAAAAATTGTGCGAGTTAAGCTAAGTTGCGTTCTAAATGAGGGAAATTCTAAAATGAGCCGATAATGTAGTGATGTGTCGATACGTGTTGATAAATGGCTAAATGTGTGCAGTGCAAAAAATCCCAAAAAATCTCCCATTTGGTTTAGCATCAACTTAGCCTAACTCGCACACGACCTTAGTATAAAAATATTAATAATCTTATAATAGTTATAACTGAGGTAAAGTAAATTAAAATTTCATATGGATTTTTTGCATTGCACTTATGTAAATATTTATATATTTATTTATTGCACTTTTTTATTATTTTTAGTTAAAAGTTTTCATATTTATTTATATATTTATTAAACATATTATGAAATTTTCACAATGGTAACACCTAATTTACTTAATTTTTATCTAATTTAGCCTACTCAAAATTCTCGTAAATACCAACATTCGCTGCTATAGCGACATAATTTACTATTTCTCTCAATTTACCATCAATTTACTCGAACTCGCACACGTCCTTAGTAAAAAAAAATAATAATAATTTTATAGTAGTTATAAAATTTATGTAAATTATTATTTAAGAAGACAAAAGTTTGTAGTTAGGAATTAAATTTGTGGCTTATAAATAACAAGCATATAATTATTTGTTATTATTAATATTAATAATTTTATTTTGAATTTATTTTGTTAATATATTATTTCAAACATAATGTATTGTTAATTATGAGTATTTCATAAAAGCAACAAAACGTTCATCATATTGATTAAAATTTATTAAAAGCTATTAGAATCCATAATATTTTCAAAAAAATACTAAATAATAACAAAATAATTTTCAATAAAACACAATTAATGTACACATAAAATTAAAACGATATCTAATGAATTATTTTAGAAATAATTCTAAAGTTCTAGAAAGCGAGCTTTTATAATAAAAATTTTATAGTATTATTAACTTATATATAAGAAAAATATTTGTGAAAATATGGCCTCGGTAGCGCAGTAGGTAGCGCGTAAGTCTCATAATCTTAAGGTCGTGAGTTCGATCCTCACCCGGGGCATTGCTTTTTGCTATTTTTTTTTTTGAAGTTTTTTTTTTTTTTTATAAATAAATTAACAGATTTGATGGTTAAATTAAACATATATCAAATTTTACAATATTTATGAGAATGTAATTAATCTTTAACTTAAAATTTTAAATTATTTTTAATAACAGCTTTGTGTTAATGTTCAATTGTTAACTTGAATAAAAAAAATATTATTAATTAATATTGTTAAGTAGCCATAAGTCAGTTAATACAACCAATGAATGTAGATAAATTTATTACACATACAATATACATATGTATGAAATAGTTTTTTTAATAATATTCTAAAATTTTTTATTGTTTTTTATTTTGTTTTTAATTCAAATACATACTAAGAATGATTTAAAAATTAATCTCAAAATTTATTACAGATTAAAAATGTACATATCAACATAGTTTATTATGACTTCAATTAAACTAGATACTTTTATCATATATTTTTCAATCTTGTCTTGGTTAAATGTTTTTATATTTAATGCACTAAAAATTATTTCCATCATCATAAATTCTACTAAAAATGCAACATTTTTTGTTGTATCTTTTTTACGTTTGTCAGTTGTCTATCAAATTATTAATAATTTTATATCGGCTGCTGTATCTCAAAGATACAATCAACTATTAAAAAAAAAGATTCTAATATATCATAAATTTTAATGGCGCTTATTTATTTTTTCATGCCGTATTTAAATTTATATCTTTTTTTGAAGCTATACTACATCGAATGATTCTTTTGATTATTCCATAATTTTTTGTATGATTTTTGCAATTAAGGAAAAATTGTCGTAATGGTTGTGCCACTAAAAATACAAAAAAAAAAAAAGCAAAAAATCGTTAAATAGGCGCTGTGGCTTTGGTGTCAGTTATGGTTTTTTATCTTTAAAGACTTGATTAAATGCAATTGATAGACAGACAGATATTAAACTTTATGAAGTGACTATTTGTTAAACTACATTCATTGGTTTGTTGATTTATGTTAGCAACATTTAGTTAGAAAAATGATTAATTGGATAAAATCAAGCTAGAAGTCTCAAGGATACCACTAACCTAGCTGAAGTAGTCGTAAAAATATATTTAATTGTTCTCATATTTATGTAATTGTGTTAACATTTGTTACTATTTTTATATATTTTATTAATTTTAATATTCTTTCTTACTTTTTGTCTTGAATATAATTTTAGAATTGCGCTCACAGTTTAGGTTACTTCACATCCGTTTGACATCATGGAACTGGCAAAATCTAGGCAGATAGGTGAAATGGAGTAATGAATTCTCCTCCTTTAGCTAAGAAAATAATTTTAATATCATATTCCTCGTAAATTTGGGTTGAATGATGGGCATATTAGAACTAGAAGTATCTGACCATTACTAATGCTGGAGCATCGCCGAGTGTGTTGAAGAGTGAGACTCCAGTGTCTCCTCTTCGAGCACCAGTAGAAATCGGTATAAGATATTTAACAGGGCAGACCATGTCATCCTATTCCAGTGACCCGTTAGAACAGATAATAATTTAGATGCCTCTGATTTATTTCTGTGCTTGTACATTCTTAAACAAATAAAAAAAAGAAGAGAATTCAAATAGCCAAGTCTTAACAAGTGTAATGTAACTAAAAATATCTACAACTCTCTTAAAAGAAACTCATCAATTTATAATGTAACTAATGTAACTAAAAATATCTACAACTCTCTTAAAAGAAACTCATCAATTTATAATCAGTCTCTCTCAAAAGGACTGCAGAGCAATGATAGGTATAGGGACACTGTCCATTAAGGGCACACGTCCACAATATGGTCTTAACGAAAAACAATAATGGCAAAAACTGTAATATACTTACATAGATAGTATACTATATTATTGTGTAATATAATTGCACTGATAGGATGTTTTAATACAATCCATTACCACAATCTAATCTTAAACAGACATAGTTAAACAGGAAATAGTGATAGTTTCTAAGTTTGCAAAGAATGCCAAAATATTTTGTTAACTACCTCAAGTAATAAGATGTTATTGTAATAGAATTGAATATCTTTGGAAATCAACGAACTCGCCTTCAGAATGAATATGTAACCCTTAATTAGGCCACATCTCCTAATCTTTAATTGGTATCGCTAAGGACTCTAAAGTCTATGAATGGTTTCTTGACAGCAACCAGCTCAAACTATCCAACTATGTTTTTGGAGAATATATCCTCTGCGTGGGTTCGTTGAAAACTATTATACAGACAATTTCAAACCAGTCTTCTCAAAAAAAGTCTAATTCAAACCGTGCTAAAATCTAATGCTTGTAAGGTGTAAAGATTCGCCTTTTTTTGGTAAAAAGAACGAAAATAAGAATAGGTATGTAAACAATACATACCTATAACAATATTTTGTTTAAGAAAATAGGTCATAATGAGAATATTTTAAATTCAAAGACTTAATTTTATATCAAGTGAATTATATTATCTTGCTTTCTATTAAGTATTAATTAAAGTAAACTATTATCCGTCTTACAGATAACGTGGTATTTGTTTAACAGATAAGTAATACTATTTTAAAATTCATGACAATTCTTCCATTGTTCAGATTTTATACTAATATCTTCTGAATGAAAGAAATTAGATTAAGAGCCTAAGAGATTAAGAGCATTTAGCAGAGCGGGATTGATTCAGGAGCTAAAGCTACAACACATCGACACTACTGAAATAATTCAAAGAACTATGTTTACACATATGCACAATACATTATTTTTAAAGAATTTTTATTTTAACATATCTGAAGTCAGGATTTCAGCAAATACTGACATATGACTATTGAGAGAGTTTGCCTTCGATATTTTAATAATTTAATTTTAGTTGTACACCTTTCATGTTTATTTAAATTTTATTTTTTTTTTCTCAACGAATATTAGATAAATGTGTCCCTTTTGATCGAGACATATACCGGGTTTCATTAAAAAAATCTTCTCTCCGGTTGAAGCTAGGAATAGAACAAAAGGTCTAGTAAATATTATCTACTACACTGCGGTTTTAGATTAGTGTTTTCTAAAGCTAATTCTATAGCGACTCTTATTATGTTTGTAATCTATAATTGAATATGCGTAAAATACTCACTGTATTATATTTATTTAATTTCTTAATTACAACACTGAGCATACAAATTTATAG